ACTTCTTATAATCCTGTGTTCCAAGGAGCCTTAGACTGCCTCAAATGCATTAACCCAACACCATTTGTCTTACTTCTGCTAGGAGATAATACGTGCTAGTTATTAAGACTGCAAAACAGTAATATCTGAAATTAACCTTGTGATTTTTATCTGTAAAAGCATAGTCCTTTTTCCTTTACAATTTTGTCAGGAATCTTTTAAGAAAATTCAGATTTTGGGGAATGTATCTGTGGGCTTTTTTACTTGGAGGATTTTTCTCTAGTTAGGTGATAAAGGTTCCTATGCCTAGAGGTCAAAAGCATCAAGGACTCTCCACCTGGGTCTTTTTATCATAAAACTAACACCATCTAACAAAGTTGCTTTTATAAGAAAAAATGTTCTTCCTAGCCAAGATCTTGATTGGTTAAGAATGGGTCAAATTAAAAATTTTAGGTAAGAAATTCCCACCTGTTTAAGATACTTACATATACTTTCTACTAAGGAATAGACACAGTAGCTATTAAATTTGTGTTCTAGAACTTGAGGGAAACTAATGGCCATGTGAAACTAAATTTAAGGTGAAGTCTTAATGAACTCAAATATCCGATTTCCAAATTCTCAAGTTTTAGGGAATTACTGTATAAAGTAACCTAATGCCAAACTCAAATGCATTTCAGTGAAAATTTGCCCTTGTTAGACTAAATAAATAATCTTTAAGGTTCTTTCCTTAAAGAAAACTCCCATCAGTAATAGGTTTTTATTTTAAAAAATTTTCATGAAAATATAAACATATGTAATTGTAGAGTAAAAACAAACCAGTATTCAGTTTCATTATTTACCGACATGTGGCCAATCTTGTTATATATATATCCCACATCCTGTCCCTTCTCCGATTATTTTGAATTGAAGCTCACATTTAATTTACAACTATTTCAGTATATCTCTCTCAAAGAGAAAGGACTCATCTAAAAAAATTATATAGTTTTTATTGATTTCAGAGAGGAAGGGATAGAAACATCAATGAGAATCATTGATCCCCTATTGGGGATCGAGCCCACATCACAGACCATTCCCTGACAGGAATGAAACCCGTGACCTAGTTCATAGGTCAGTGCTCAATCAGGGAGCCACACCGGCCAGGCAAGACTAGTTTTTGATTCTGCACCTGTATACATTCCTGTAAAGTGTTCTTGGTTAAAAATGTTTCCACATGTAATTTAGTGTTACCAATTTGAGCATTTTCCTCCTACTAGGGACTGGTTTGGTTGAAAGACAAAGAAGCAACACATTGTAAGCTATGTGAAAAGGAATTCTCACTCTCTAAGAGAAAGGTAAGCGAAGTAGCAAATCCAAAAGTTTCGGTGCAAATATGGCTTTTAACTTTATTCATATTTTTTTTTTTCTGATTTCCTCCCCCGCTCCCTCAATTAATAGCACCACTGTAGAAACTGTGGGGAAATTTTCTGTAATGCTTGCTCTGACAACGAACTGCCTTTGCCTTCTTCACCAAAGCCAGTACGGGTTTGTGATTCCTGTCATGCATTGCTGATTCAGAGATGCTCATCTAATTTGCCGTAAGATTCTAAAGCGAAATCCTCATTGTATGGAAGTACTGATGATGAATGTTATGTATGAACACGTGCACAACATACTCAGACAGCCCTTCTTAAGCAGCTTTCAGACAGTATTGGTACCAGTTTTATCTTTCACATCTTCAATTATTGGGAATTAAAAAGTTGCATAATTGGGTATTTCCTTTCCATTATTAAAGAATTTTCAACAGGGCATGCTTTAAAATAACTTCAACCTAATTCCTAGTTCATGTAATAATCATATAACTCTTAATAACATTGATAAGGCCAGATAGTAGCTAACACAGTTGCCTTATTTTATAAAGGCCTTCTTAAAAACAGGGCTTCAGATTTTCTTCTCCAGATCGCTGAGTTGATATTTAATGGTGCCTGTAATTTTCTTAATGCACTTTAAAGCTTCATGGTTCTTAGAGAAAGATGGGAAATGTGTAGAATTTTTTATGTGTTAATATCCCAATTTCATCAGATTTTCAATTAGCTTGGTAAGGTGTCAACTGTATTTATTTGGCCCTTTGCTCACGTTGCATTAGAAAAGGCCAATATTTTATGCTATGTTTCCTTTGGGTCTTACTCCTAAAACCAGTGTTGTAGTTGCTCTCTTTCAGATACAGTGGGTTAAAGAGTTTATTGTTTTGCCACAACCTTTTCCTTATTTTGAAAGGAAGTTTAAATCATCATCCTTTTACCTTAAGTTGCTACTTGCAGATCTTTCCAGTAGTTTTTAAGAAGCATTAATATTGCAGTGGTCTGCTACTGCATAGAGAGCAAAGCATTTACCACATACCGAGCACCTCTAAACCAGGGTTGGTTAGCAGATGAAGACGTGGTCTCAGCCCTGCCATAAAATACATACTTGAACCATTTCAAGCATGAGATTGAATAAACACTAATCTCATTGTATTGCTTATAGCATATACAAGAATTGACTCTGTAAAAAGCAAGTTACCCTTGTATACAATCACTTGAATGGCATCACTACTAGGGGCCCTACCCCCCCTTTTTTTTTAAAGTCAAATTTTAGCCATGCACTTTACCCCTGTGAACCTTTCAAACAATGTGATATTAGAATAATCTTACATTACTCCTAGGAGCATTGTATTTAGTGAATTTAATCATGGCTACCCCCTAGGATGGGGGTTACTTATTTTGCAGGATTTTTTCCTCAGAGTACATACTTTCATTAAGTGTAAAAATTATTTTTTTAAATTGCCAAAGTTTGAAACTAGTATTTTAAGATTTTCTCCATAATCCAATTTGAGGTCTTCTGGCAGAACCGACAGATTTTTAGGTGGTCTTTCTTGAATGCTCTGATAGAAATGTTGAAGAGATAAATTATATTATTGAAACTTTTGTATTGATGGATGAACATTTTTATGATACTAAGTGTTTTTTTATTAATGTGCTTAGAACAAATTAAAAAATGTGATTTTTGCTTAAATTCCAAGGCTGGTTAACTATGATTTTTAATCTCTCCTTCAGTTCTTTGCTATTCAAAACTCATGTATCACCACTGCATTGAGGTTTTTGTAGGCAAGCTTTTGTCACAGTAATACAATTTGCTCCATTTAGCATTAGCTCTTTAAAAAACAACACACATTTATACCAATTTTGAATTTTATGTTACGAAGCTTTTCATTTGTACTTTGTGAACCTACACTTTTGCTTTTCAAGGAAGATTTGCAAACTTCACAAGATCATTCCCTCATCTAGCCAGTACCACAATAATGCTATCATGGTGCCAAGGAATTGTGATTGTTAATTCTTCTACCCTGTAATGTTTTAAAATAAAATGTGAATTTTATAAAAATAAAAGATTTGAAAACTTATCGTGCTTTAGAAGAGCAATTTTCATTGATAACATTTTATAGTTTTACTCATGGGAAAGTAAAAGCACATGTGATCTCTAAAAAATGTAAGTGACTAATATAATACTTAAAGGGATAGCTAGGAGAGAAGGTACAGGCATTATTAAAATGAAACATTGCTTAGTTGACGGGCTCCATATAGGCTACCACAGCTACCTTCTCTAAAGGAGTCACTTTGTCTAATCTTCAGTTAGATATACTTAGTACCTTTGATTTATGATCAGTAACAGACACAAAGCATTCTAGGACAGACGCCATACTATTATCTCCCACATTGATATTTATTACATTCTAGCAAAAACAAGTAACAAGTTCAGTAACTGAATTCACATTAACAGGTTTCATTTGATCCATTAGCCAATCTGGAAAAAAGCCATAATGATCAAAGGGATTAAAAGAAAAAGCACCTTTTCCTTGCTACATATAGTATTTAACACAATGGCCCTGAAACTCCGAACAGATAATCCCATACAAAATCCAACTGTAGGACTCTCATTTTAATTAAGACTACAACATGGACTTATCTCTTACATTTTTTAAAGGTATTTATACAGTTATTAAAAAAATGCTTTAACTATTGGGCTTAAACTGAAAATACATCTGTGAGAATTATACTCCATAGTTTAATACCCTTGTACTGAATTTTCATGTCACTTGGAACCTTAACCTAGTCTAAGACTTGGGATAACTTACAACTATCACTTTTTGGAAACATTTTTTGGTACTTCAGTCAAGTGCTGAGGGGATTTTATTCTAAAATCTAGGGCTAGAATTTAAATTTCCAACACTCCCATCCTTGGTTAACACAATTATGAATATTTAGAAATCCAGATACCTCAACATTTCAGAGCTATGCCTGTAAGTGACATTTGAAAAAGATTATATAGAATTAGAATTTATACTCCTGAAACCATCTAAACCCATCTTAGGTTTTATATATACAGTATTGTCCAGGAGAAATTAAAGTTATTACACTCTTTTTCAAGCTCTATTCCAGGTGTCTCCTTATTAAGACTTGCAGCGTATGCAGAGGTGAACCATTGTTCTCTAAAATTACAACTACTACTTGTAGAGCTAATAATAAAATACACCAACCCAAATCTTATGAAAGCAGCACATTCTTAGGAGTAACCAGTATATAAAAAGTATCAACATCAGTGGTTTGAATATAAAAATTTATTTTAAGTGAAAGTATGCAACAAATAAAACCTACAGAAACAGATTTTCCCATCACAATCTGTTGCTTTACCAAATGAGATTTGAGAAAACATTCCTTCAGTCATTATAAAGTTCTTAAAATACAAAAGAAATGAAATCTGTAAGAAAGTCTAGTAGACCAGATTCTGTTGTCAGGACTATTATGTTGGTGGTTTTTGCTCTAATACATCCCACGCCATCCACCTCCACTCATGCCACCTTGCCCATAGTAACCTCCACTGCCTCCACCACCACGACCTTAGAAAAAAAGACATTGAGTGTTTAATAGGAGGTTATCAAAGTAGAAGACAGTCTGCACTACATATGGGGGCTAACAAACTGAACCAGGGTAACCAAAGACACTTACCATAACCACCCAGGCCATCAGGAGTTCCGTATCCTCCACTGTAATTGTTCCCCATTCCCATTCTTCCAACAGATCCATAACCACCCTGATTATCTTTCAAAACAAAACAAAACAAGTTTGAGGTTGATTGCTAAGTGTCTAACTGAACTCCATTTACTTTACAAAACTATACATACCCATTCCATCTCTGCCGTAGCCTCCCATTCCAGAACCTCCCATTCCAGAGCCACCTCCGGGAGTGGAATTCAAGAACAGTTCAATGTATCGATGTTCTTTAGGAAAAAAAGAGTAATAGGAAAAATGATGGATCAAATTTATCAAAGCATAAACAGGCTGACTACCTAATATTAAACCTAAGTGTATGCTTACAGATTCTGAGGGGAGTGATAAAACAAATGCTGGACAGATAAAATCTAGTTTTGTTCAAACGATATAATCTTGAACAAGTTTCCTTATCTATAAAAAGGACTGATACATTATTTCAGAACCAGCTGGTATACTTCTTAAAAATATATTCCAGGCCCAATCACAGAACTGAATTAGAATCTTAAGAGTAATGTCCAGGAAAACTTTTTTAAGTACCAAGTGATTATGTGTAGCCAGATTTGGGAATAACTGGTTGAAGTACAATTAAATGGCTTAAAAACTGATTTGATGACATGCAGGAATAACTTATCCAAAGTGGATCAGCATATATGTTAACGAGTTGTACTGCCCAGCTGGTACTCTCAGTGGTTGAGCGTTAACCTATGAACCAGGAGTTCACAATTTGATTCCCAGGCAGGGTACATGTGGGCTCGGTCCCCTAGAGGCAGCCAACCAAGGATTCTCTCTCATCATTGATTTTTCTCTCTTCCTTCCTCTCTGAAATCAATAAAAATATATATATTTTTAAAAGTAATACTAATTTGTTGCCCTAACCAGTTTGGCTCAGTGGATAGAGCACCGGCCTGTGGACTGAAGGGTCCCGGGTTCGATTCCGGTCAAGGGCATGTACCTTGGTTGCGGGCACGTCCCCAGTAGGGGGTGTGCAGGAAGCAGCTGATCGATCTTTCTCTCTCATCAATGTTTCTGGCTCACTGTCCCTCTCCCTTCCTCTCTGTAAAAAAAAAAAATATATATAAAAGTAATACTAATTTGCAAAAGGCACGAAACTCAGACAAGTAACATACCTATTTCCTTCTTTTAATAACTTAAGCGCTAATTATCTGTCAAGTATTAAGAGTCTGAATTAATGCTTCAATATAAAGTTCCCTAGAAAGCTATGAAAGTCTGAACTTGTAATAAGTTCACAGCTAGGAAACAAGCTAGCATGCCAAGGATACTACTTACGCATGTTATTCTTATCTTTAGACATGGCAGCTACTGCATCTTCATGTGTCACAAACTCTACATCTGCTTCTCCTGTTGCTCTGCCATCAGCTCCAATATCAATATGCACTCGTATTGGATTTAGTGGTGAAAAGAACTAAAGAAAAGAAAAACTTGTTACTTTCATATTACCGAAATTACGAAATGCCTTTGTTTTTGTTCATTAAAACAACCCTTCTTGCTGCCCTGTTGCAAGGCTAATAATTACATCAACACTAATGGTTCTAAGAATATAAGACCACACTTAGGGAAACACAGATACCTGGAACTTAGGCCAATAGATTCCCAGTAAGAGCTAGAGCAAAAATTTTCTTTAAAAGCTACACAGTAAATACTCTTGGCTTTGTAGGCCACTGGGAGCCAAGTACTGGATGTCTATTGGGCTGAAGTTTGCTGATTCTCTAAACAATATAAAACCAACCAGTTTCAAATTAATAGCAGCATCTAGTTCCATTATTTTCAGCTCGCCATATAGCCTAGAATGCCAAACCAAACTACTTGAACTTTTCACTTGTTAAATATATTTATACTTTCGAAACTCCACACAAGGGAAACAATCTCCCAGTCACTACCACTACGCTGATCAGTCTTTCACTAAATTCTTAACTGGACTTTGAAACTGTAGCATTTACTTGCTTCAATTCTATGTAGGTCAGCACAAAATGGACACAAAAATATTCATCAACTACTGAAGATTTATATAGTCACATTAAAGGGATTCTGATATTAAAAAGAAAATGAGAAAATTAAAAATGCTTTAAAAAATGTAGATACCAGAATTAGTATAAAACCACCAATTACTAAAATTACTCACATTAGCAATGTCATTTTCAGTTGCACGAAAAGGCAATCCTCTCATATGTACAAAATGACCACCATGAAAACCTGAACTTGCATCACCAGCTCCACCATAGCCATGTCCTCCCATACCTAAAAAAAATTTCCAGATCATAAACTGATACATGTAGAAAAGCATTTCAACAAAATATTTCTTCCCTATATACATCTTTTCCTATTTACAGCTTTTTGACAACCCCAAGAGATTTTAACACTTATAGTTGTTCTAAACATCAAATGGAGAATTTACCAGTAAGTATATATCTGTATAAAGGCCTATGTAGGAATACACTAAAATAGGCCTGAATTGACTTTACCAAAATTCACCTAAAAATGAGTATGTCTTTAATATTTAATTTACCTCTTCCATCTCTCATTCTGTCATCAAAGCCATCATTTCCATAGCCATAATTATTATAGCCACCATAGTCATCAAAACCTCCATAACCTGTATAATTTGAGAAAATACACAAATACTTTAAAGAGATAAATTTTATAGTTTACAAAAGCATACTCTGTATAAGCAGTTTGACTAAAGTATTGCAACTCCCAACATGTGAAAAAAAGTTAACATTTGGTAAAAATTAAAAAATCTATAAAGAATACATTTAGACATTTAATTTCACCCTGATGCCAAGCAGAAAATTTCCAAACGTGCCAAAACTTCATTTTAACTTCTATATACATTATCTAGGTGTCAATATGTGCATCAACCAAGTCCCACAGCTGGCCATGGGAATCCGTATTTTCATGAACAGGTTTTAAAACCTAGTAGGTACTGAAATTACTGCCATTTCTGTATTTCTTGACAAAGTGTCAGGAACATTAAGAAAATGACAACAGAACCTTTGTTCATTAGATACACATACCACCATCATATCCATCACCTCCTCGTCGCATTCTGTCATACATACTTCCACGCCCAGCTCCATAATAACCCCCTCTTCCTCCTATTGGTCTATCATATGGTCCTGGTCGCTGGCCCAGCAATCTTCTTGGTGGATCATAAAATCCTTTGATTTCACTCCTGCTACTTCTGAAGATCTCAATATACCTATTTAAAAATGGTTTAAGGTACTGGTTTCAGCTTAAATGTATTAGAGCAAATAAGATATTGGGCAAAATGCAATAAGTTTTTCTGTATCTAGATACATAACCCAATTTAGCCTAAATACACCATAAAATTAACATTTTTACACCTACAAACTTAATAATTAATATATTTAAGTTTTACATAGACAAATCAATCATTTGAGATATAAATATAATTTTAGCTTGTTTCTTTAAGCACAAGATAGATGTTTAGAGAAAATAGTTGATTATACAAAAGCATTTATCAACAACATCCTACAGAGAAATGGAAACAATCTACTTTTAATTTAAGCAAACTATTAGCATTAATTCCCCACCCATATCTGTAGTTTCCAAGTTAAATTATCAATTCTTTTAAACTATCCCAGAAAAATGTTACTGGTACCCCCCACTTAAGCAATAGTGACCCACAACCCCCAAAAATAAAAATTTAACACCATCCCAAACTCTCCATCCCCACCTGTGCCCTATTCTTTCCTTGTGTTTCCCCAGAGCATTTTCTGCTATCTCCTTTGAAGCAAACTGCACGAAGGCCTCCCCTGTGCTTCTCCCCTGGTAGTCCATCGTCAATGTTATCCCATTTGGCACGATTTCCAACCCTTTAACCCAAGGACAAATAACCCCATCAAGGGGAACAGTGTTAAAGGCTGAAACATTCCCATCTGAATCAAATATTTAAAACAAGTCTAAACAAAACAAAACAAAATGCTTAGTTCCCCATCACCCCATAATACAAATGGAAGATTTTTTTCAAAAAACTGGATTACACAAGTTTTTTTTTCTATCAGTGTCTTTATAAATTACATACTCTAACAGCCCACCTATATTACATGAAAAAAAAAAGCTGAAATCAAATTTATGCTCCATTTTCTAATTCATGGTTCATTTCATCACACATAATTACTCTCAATTAAGTTTATTGCACATTAGTTAGGTTTTACATACTCTATACATTCTGTATTAAATATTAACTGGAGCAAATTTCATAACTATACATTAACCAAGATATACTCAAATTAAAAAGTCCCCCAAAACAAGCAAATGCGTTTTTTAAATTAAAAACTGAGTAATAAAATAAAATACTACTAAACTTTGACTAATACTAGAGGTACCTTGAAAGAACTGAACTATTTCCTCTTTGCTGCAACCAAATGGCAGTCCACGAAGTCGCACTGTCCCATCACTAGCGTCATTTGGACCATTATGTTTCATAACCCAATCCATCTCAATACCGTTTGATTAAATGCTATAAAAAAATAAACAAGCACATAAAGCAGTCAATCAAAACATACTCTTGCCAGAGGTACTGAAGAAACACCTCTCAGTGGTGCACAACAGGAAATGTAACATAGGACTCAATGACTCCAATGACGATGCTACACCACCACCTTTCTGTTTTGGGTCAGGCAAAAAAAGATTGGGAAAAGGCAGTGAAACCTGACTCCTCCCACCAAAAAGCACTCAATTTCTAAGGATCAAATATTATACATTGCCTAATTTTAAGAAAGTTTACTTAATTTCACTCTAAGTCTTCTTGTTCAAACTCTATTTCTTAACCTGTCATTTAGTATCAACTCTACCTTTGCCCCATCTCTCAAATTTTCATTCACATTTTCCATGTTTTATTATTCACTTGAATAGTTCTGCAAATCCTTTGAAACCTGATCACTCAAAAGTTGCACATAGTACCACCATCCACGCACATGAAGAACCCAAGCCAAACTACGAGTACTTCTTTAATGTTGGAAAAAATGGCATCATAAAAGTGTAAATTTACTAGATGCACTATAGTTCTGAACATATCCAATTTTTTGAAGGGGGAAAATTCTTAACTCTATTGTAACTAAATAGGATTCAAGCACTCCCCAAGAGTAAGTTTTAAATGACTAAACTAGGTTGAATTTTAAAAATGGAGGTAAAAAGGCCACTTAAGTTACTGAACATAGCATATTAAAAAAAGTTACTCACTGCTTTACTTTTAGACACAAATTTTAAAAAATGACAATATATTCACATTCAAAAAGTATTAAAAAGGGTACAGTGAAAAGACCTCTTTCCCCTCCAAAAAGAACCCACCCACCCAGTTCCCTTCCCAAGACAACCATCCTTCCTTAGTTTAAGATTCCAGAACACTTTAAAGAGGCTAATGCAGAAGTCCTTCAGCTGCAGAAACTTACCAGAGCCTACAAATTTCATTATGCAGCTGTAGGAATCCTACTCACCTGGTTATTTCAAAATTTTCCCTCACCACCTCCTCCCCTGTAAACAAAACAATGTTCACTTGATTCCTTTATGCTCAAGAATTATTTTATACCAACAGGATTCACTAATAATTTCATGATTGAATTATCAGTGCAACTGTTAGTGGCAGCATCTGCAAAGAGTGAAATTCCCCTCCTTAGAATTCTTGCATTTAAAATAAACTAATGTAGAATTTCCCAAATGTGGTTATAAATCCTATCAGCTCTGCATATGTATCACTTCTGGTGCCCGTTCTTTATTGTTGCTGCTACTTTTTAAATATTTTTATTGATTTTTAGAGAGAGAGGAGGAGAGAGGGAGAAACATCTATTGGCTGCCTCCTACATGCCCCTTATTAGGGACCACGTCTGCAACCTGGACATGTGCCTTGACTAGGAATCGAACCGGCAACCTTTTGGTGCATGGGAGGATGCTCAACCAACTGAGCCATACCAGCCAGGCTGCTCTGTTGTTTTTTTAATCCTAGACAGAGATCCCAAAAGTGAGATTATGCATTTTTATTTGACATTACAATTACTTCTTATGCACACAAATAACTGGTATGGACTTAATTTAAGAGAAAAAAAACTGGGCCTGAATCCCTAAAGCCTGTCACTGGCTCCTTAATTTAAGCAAAGTACTTAACTGCTGTGCCCAACTGTAAAAAGGCAGCAGTGGTGCCTATACCTCACTGGACCATTTTAAGAATTATTCAGTGCCTGGTCTGCAGTGTGATAACCATTCAATGGTGGCCATTTTAAGGGCACAGTAGAACTAATGAAATGTACCACAAAATAACAGGTTGAACCTTACAGGACAGAAAAGTATTCTGAGTCTTAAAAGGACACAGTTTTACGTTTCCTTGGAAACTGTCTAAAGGAGAGGGGAAAACACTGTTCTAGTAGCCCTCAAAGTAGGCCTCAAATCAGTCTGGGGAAAAAAAAGACATTTTGAAGGTCTACCATGTTCTTAAACTTTTGTAAAAAAACACTAACAAACAAAACAACAACAGTACCAACTTAAATAGCTGTTTCCTATAAAGAGTGATTTAAGGATAAAGGAAAAAAGTGGAGATTTAACATTATACATCACATCCTCATGAAAAATCTAAGAACTTTACAAAGTCAATCTATTGTGAAAAGATGTTATTAGTATGGTGCTTTTTATCATTTAGCATTTTTTCAATGTGAAGATATTGTTTTGGGAACAAATACAAACAAGCTGGATATAGTGTATCTTTACTACAAGCACTAGTGAGCAAACCAGTTTTTGATTTTCAGGATCAGCTACGCCAATGAGAACCTATATAAAAACAACAAATAAATACAACGTCTTTTTTTAAAAAACACTAACTGTGGTCGGGTGGCTCAGTTGGTTGCAGCATCTTCCCACACATCAAAAGGTTTCGGGTTTGAATGCCAGTCAGGGCCCATACCTGGGGTTGCCTCTGGTCAGGGTGTGTACATGAAGCAACTATTCGATGTTTCTCCCTCCCTCCCTTCTGCTTTCTCTAAAAATTAGTAAAAGCATCCTTGGGTGAGCATTAAAACACACACACTACACACAATTTTAAATTAGGGAAAAGTTAAGCAGATTTAGAGGAACCTTTTAAAAGGGCGATTCTTCATCACCTGTGTTCAAAGAGTACACAATAAAAACGGAAGCACACACTATTATCTCTTCAAAACCCAAAAATTGAGTCTAGAATTCTACTTACAAAACCAAAATGAACTTTAAAGGCATACAACCAACTTTAGTACCTTAATAAAGCAGTCTCAGAAACCATCTAGTTTTTACAAATTATTCAGGATAATCCATCTCATCCTTTCTTTTCAACAGCATCATGGCCAATCACAATTGTTTTAAGATTTCCAAGTGTTAGCACCAATTAAAAATACCAGCAGTTGAAATATTAGAACAATTTTAGTGAGTTTTGTATAAGACTTTTTAGTTCCTTAGTAAAAGCATCTAACCGAGGCCAAATGAAATGTAAAATTCCTTTATACCAGAAATTATACTATCTTCTTAAGCATACAATACATAAAGAGTTTGATGCATCAATAAATAACTTTCTAAATGATAACCCTCTGGTCCTAAAAAATGAGAATGAACTTCAAATTTCGGCAAAAAATTTGATATGTTAATTTTAAATCATTCCCCCTTTCAAAGTGCTCAATTTAAAAAAAGGCACACCACTAGTACCTAAAAGGAGGTAAGTTCAAAAAAAGGGATTATGAATGAGTTCTTTATTACATTCAGCCACTTGTTTACTAAAACGAGGACATAAAACACACACACACACACACACACACACACACCCAGTTAAAAATTTAAAGGCAATAACATGAATTTCCAGATGATGCAGATGAGGGCAGAAAAAAGATTTCTAGGGCAATCCTATTAGGAAAGCTGTTATAGCATATATTACTTTATAGGTAAACTCTGGCCTGTCTTTCAAAGCCCCCAAAGTAGACAAACTTCTTGTAAAGATGCCTATGAATTATTGTAAACTCTTCTCAGGCCCTGCCTTCCCCTTTCCTATTGTCTTCAGTGTAAATTACCGCCCCAGTTCTCCTGTGTTCTGAGGACCACAATCATCCCACCACATATGGACTGGGCTTTATAGTTCCTGTCTGTTGAGTAGGCCTATGCTCTTGTTCAAAATATTACGACAGTTCTAGATTAAAAACAAACAAAAACATGCTTAGCTACCAAAAGAAAATAAACACCAACTGTATTTTCAAGCCATTTTACTTCTACAGCCTAATGCCCCCCCCCGCCCCGCCCCCCCGGCCTTCGAACAGTAACTCAATTCCTACACATACACACATTTTCGCCATCCCGGATCGCTTTAACTTCCTTCCAGATGCAAACGCCTACTTCAACTCTAACCCAGGATGTGCCTCCCACGACACAAAACCATGGCTGACCTGCCCCCCGCCCCCCA